TGCCTGCATTCCTCAATCTGAGTGGGCTTCCACTTGTAGGGGAGCTGTAAGCAGGCCCTTCCAGGGCAGGTTCATAATAGACTAGGCTGTCATAGATGGAGAGTAGCAGAAGATGCTGACACTCTAAGTGGAAGGAAGGAAGAGATAGAGGATTGGAGGGAGGAATCAGAGGTAAAATGTTAATGATGAGAGGTGGGAAAGGTAAGGGATTTAGAGACAGAGTTGGAAAATGAGGGGTGCTCCGCTACAAAGCAGAAGAATGAATGTGTTAGCAAAGGACTCTGCATACCAAATGAGTACTCTGCTGATAGGTCTAAGAAGTGAAATGCTGAAGTTATGTAGGAAAGATGAGTGTATACAGGGAGCAGGGTTCAGCTGAAATAGGTGGGGAAAGCAGGATGGACATTTTTCAGGCAAATAAAGAATCATACATTAGCAGTGCTGTTGATCCATGCAGACCTTTGGGTTAGGTGTAAAGTCTCATTAATTACTTTGGATGGCTCTAGTTGTTTTAGTTATTTATTTTTTTACAGTGTTCTGGGAATGCTAGTTACCATGTGTTGTTAACACTTAAATGTTGAGTTTCTGATGGCGGGGGGGTGGGGGGGACAGGAACAGAGACAGAAACCAAAACCGCTTGGGAACAGGTGAGAGTGGAATGGCAATAAGACAGCCTGATTTTATAAGGTCAGATTCTTCCTTGTTCATATGTGGACAGGCAGTGGATTAGGAGGGAGCCTCTTCCTTTTTGTGAAGCTTTTGTAAGGACCTGAGATTGACAATCCCTGCTATCACAGAATGCAAGAATTACTCTATCCTTTGTCCCTTGAAATCATATAATGATGTAAGGGGATGCTGGGATTGTGTCTCTATCCAGACAGCATTGCTGGCTACCGAAGCATACATTTCTAAGGCTGTAGTCTTTAAAAGAACAGGCATGAAGCCAAGCTAGGCAAACCCAGAAGACATTAAAATTCTCATGGTGTGGTGCAGTTCTATACTATCTATTATTAGGGGCTGTGCCTACCAGGCACAACAGAGGCCCTCATTATTTATCACGTGAAAATATTGCTGAAGGCAGTTGGAGTCAGTAAGGTTTTTTTTGGCAGAGTAAGTAATGATTACAAATAAGGAAAGGGATCAATAATTCCCACAACAGGGTTGGGATGGATTTATAGGCTTCACACAAAGTAAAGACTAGACAAGAACCCTAAGGAATAGTCGGACCCAGCAGGCACTCAGGCAGCTCAGGCAGCCAATAAGGGACCAACTCCAGGTAAAAACAAGTAATAAAAAGGAGAGAATGATCAGTTAGAGAAGGCTGTAGCTTGGAGGCAGAAAGTGAGAATCTGCACCCACATCTACAAAAAATATACTGGTGGGTCAAATATATAGACTCACTTACCTGACAGTATCTCTCTAATGCTAAAATGCAGGAAGCTGGTGAAAATAAAATACAGTAGTATAATTAATGAATTATGCTTTATACTGAAATCACAGAGAAATAATCTTCAGTACTTGCCAAAATCAGTGTGAGTGATAGATTTGCCCTTTAGACAGAAATGCTGCATTACGTACTGTAGGTTATAAGATTTACATCTTAATCCTTGTTCTGCTCTTTTAATGAGCTCTTATTGGGATGGAGTGTTTCTTCCCCTCTTGCTTTTTTTAATGGTGATCTTATGGACTAAAGGCATAATATAGCAAGGGGACTTGGAAAGAAAAAAAAAAGATAAAATGAGAAATGTGTTTCACATATCTTGCTATACCATGTTTTAAATAGTAATAATATATTAGGGTGCTTCTTTTTCAAAGGAACATTGAACTGATTTTGTGCAGCCCACTGGTCTGAAATGCAAAAGGTACTTCTCAGTATATATAAAGAAGAAGTGAAGTATTGCATTTTTTAATATAATGCACCAAATCCTAACCTGATGACTTCAGAACACCATTGTCCATTTATATCTGAATATTTCTGAGGCTAGGACTGCTGCTTACTGTCTTGGTTTGGTTTTTTTAATGTTTAGTAGCCATGAACACAGTTGTTGCATAACTGCTAGTTCTCTATTTTTGCTCTCATAAAATGATATGTTACTGTTACATATAGATCCAGTGCTTATGTACAAAATGCATGGGAGAGTCACAAAAGTAAAAACATCCACATATTAAAAGGACAGTAACAGATTAGAGGTAATACTTCTGTTTTAATATTCTTGGCGCACAGTGCTAAGGCTCATAATTTATTTTAATTAGGTTTTACTTATTCCTTTCTATTACAAATGTTTTTTCTTGTTAGCTGTTCATTTTTTGTGTGGTTGTTTTTTTTAATTTTGGGGTTGTTTTTTTTTTCTTTTTACAGACTGATTCTTATTACCTCTGTCCTTAAAACGGTATGATGTTTCTATTAAGAAAAATAAAGAAAAATGAAAACTTGCTGACACTCTTCTAAGCTGGATTCCTTTACAGACTCTGTTCCAAATGACATATATTTCTAGAAGATACCTGTTCAGAGCTGAATCTTCATAATGTTACTTGTACTTACACACCTATTGTTTTGAAATATATATAATAGTGTATGGTCAGCAGTGTTTATTAACTTTCCAAAAATAAGACTTCTGAGCTAAGCAAGAGAGATACCAGTTTCTTGTAAGTGTTTAGTTTAATTATTAGTGCCCTTAGGCCTGTGCCTAAATTTAATCTGTTCAAATGAAGAGAGGGTTTAGTTAAAATTGGTTTGTGTATAGTCTAGCACCTTCACATATTTCTTGAACATTGAAACAACATCAATATTTGGACATCCATAGCTATATCTGATCATGAGAAACCTTGTTGATGTGTAGTTGGGGCAGTTTCTTAAGATCAGCATGATAGGAGCTCAGACAATTTCTGACAAATGGTGTTTTCCACCAGTTGAAAACTGGCCTGGGCTAGATGCAATATGCCATATGTGTCTGTATTATTGTTAAAGTTAGATATTGAAGGTGATCTCAAACTCATCCTGTGTGAAGAGATGCCCACATAGTAAAAATATAACAGTAGAAGCACTAATTGGCTATTTTAATCAGTGAGGTCAAAGACTGAAAATGGATAGAGACTGAAGTCTCACCTCTTACAACTGGTCCACACTGAATTGATCTGAGATTTCCTGATGAGGCAGACAGGTTAGGTAACTAAGGCATAACTTATTTCTTGCATAAATTGTGTCCTTTTGTCTTTAGTGCATTCTGACAGGCATTTCTTTTCCATGGAAAAAAAAATAACCACAGGTTTAGTAGGGAAAAAGACACTACTCCCACTGACTTTGAAGGACTCCTGCTCATTTTCACTGTGGCTAAATTTGTTCCACTTGTCATAATTTTAATAAAGGTTTTATGGGAAAAAAACCCCTCAAAAGTCTCTCATGTCCTGGATGGCAAGTAATCCTTGTGTTACTTTTCGAATTTTGGTAAATTTCAATACTCAAGTGTTGCCAAACAAATGTAATCCCTATGGGTGTGTAGAAGAAACAAAGGGCATGTATTCACGACACTTTAAAGTAGGTTAAATGCTTTTGCACTGTTTAATGGGGTTGGTGTTTGCATGCATCAGCAGCGTATCAAGCATTAATCCCAGCCACTGTAGCATATTTGGCCGCCTAATGCACCTTAAATGACTTTGAGGCACAGCAAACTAAAACACCTCCATGGAGTTTTAGTTTGCTACCCTACAGCCACAGAGCAAAGCACTGGGCTCCATGCAGCTCAGGGTCTGTGAAGGCAGCCTGGCAGCAGGCTCCACCAAAACAAACAAACAAAAAAAAAGTGGTGTGTCTGATTTCCCCCCGTCCAGAGCCTGCCTGCCTGCTTGAGTTGTGTGGGGACCCGGTCCTTCCCACCATGGCTGTGGGGCCCCCCGGGACTGCCTGAGCTGGGTGCCTGCAGGCAGGTGCCACCTGGTGGGGGGGCACCACTGTCAAAGAAGGAAGCACAAGCCCCACCCCCAATGCAGCCTAGGGACGACTGCACCCGCCGGCAGTTCACTCTCCCCTCCCCACCACCAGAGAGGCAGGTAAGACATGGGGGTACATAACACAGGGGTTTACTTCATCCTAAATAGAAGCAGTGTTTTTCAAAACCCACCACTTCAATTTAGGCCCCCTGTTTTGTCTACACATGCCCTATAGCTAAGTATAGACAGTCAAAAAGCTGAATCAATTAAAACTTCACAGGCTAATTTAAGATGCATAGATTGCATTGATAAGCAAGTGAACAGGCATTCAGTGTTGAATCCAGAAATGCAGCCACATGGCTGTAGTGGCCAAGGCCAGAAGCTGAGGGGATGCTAGAGGACACATACTGGCTTGACTGGAGCAGACAGCTTGGACCAAGGCTAGCCTGACCACCCTATTAGGGGAGCTTGCAGAGAACGTGCAAAGCATCCTGGGATGCTAGGGGACTGTGAGTTAATTTGAATCTGGAGGGGCTCTGGGACAGAAGTTCAATAACTTGATTTAACCTAAAACAGTTAAGTTTGATACTACATCGATCCAAGTTTATCTTAAACCAGTTTCATCCATTTTGAAAGTGGTTTATGTGTACTGAACTTCTGTTGTGTTACAGATTTGAATAGGTTTCTGATCACATATACCTGTTTATGTGCAATTTCTGTTCCTAGCCTATGTGGTTCAGCCAGCTGGTATATTGTCATTTTTAGAGAACTGGGTTTACATCCTGGCATAGATCATGAAAAGTCCTATTTATTTTTCTCCATATCACAAAGCCATCACAAACTTGATAGCCCGGTACTTTTGCCAGTGCTATTAGTCCATCAACTTCTTAAATACCAAAATTTATATAAAATAACAAACTAATAGAAGAATGAGCCAAACAACAAGATGTGGAGCATGTTTCTTGAGGACCTGAATTTTATGTCTCCTTAGTGGGACACAAATTTTAAAATGAGGCAGTCCTAAATATTATATTTATTTTTCTAAATGCATGTTAATTTCTTGTTTATTTCAGGCATTACTAGAGTCTCAAAATTTACTGCGCACTCAGGTTGCAAATTTTACCTTCAACCTTGGATTTTCAGGAAAGTTTTACCACACAGGTAAGAAGGAACTTTGTGCTCTCAGGCAGCTACAATTAAATAGGTGGTAGGATTTTTAAACCTAGGTCTTTTTTGGCCATATTAATAATGCACTGGCTTACTGGCATAATGGGGAAATCTGTACATCACCATTTTAGGCACCTTCTGACCAATCTATAGTTCAGTGAGGCAGTAGGGGACATACTAATTCAATTCAGTATGGTCCTTAAGTATGTAAATGTCTTTAGCATTTTCTGAAGAGCATTCTGTCAGTCATAGAGTCATAAGAAAAGCAAATTACCTGACAATAACCTTGGAATTTAGCCAGATAAAACAGGATGAGTATCACACTAGACTTTTTTTTGCAACAGCCAAGATATGGTGAAAAGAAGGAAACTGAAAATGGAGCTTCATGACCTCCAAAGAAGCAAATATATATTAATTTGAGAAACATCTTCAATCATCTTTTGTCTAAAAGGAGCTTTATAGTAATATTATTAAGAGAAAATTGACAAATGTAGAATATTTTTTAATAAGAGCGTTGTTAGGCCAACAGAAAAAAAGTCTAGGTTAAACATAATTTAAATTACATTAAAAGAGAATTATATTCCTTATTAACTCTAAGTAACTAATAGATTCCACCCATCTACAACGCACTTCTCTGGAAGTTTAACGTTGCCTGCTTCCAGGTACTTTTCTGATTCCTTTTCTGTGTCCTCCTTTCTGTCCCTCCCATTCTCTTCCCTCATTGTTCTCTCTACTTCCTCTCTCTCTCTCTTCCTGAATACTTGAGCCTTCTACTTTACCTCTTGTTCCATCCTGTTCATAGATTTCATAGACATTTCTTCCATTCAGACTTCCTAGCTTCTTCATTCTTCTCCCACTTCCACTTAGATGATAACCAGTGCTGGTATGGTCTGCAAGCCACTCATTCAGTCTTTTAAAATGAGTAGTTTTTTCTTCTTTTCAGTACCACATCTGGAATCTGAAATTACCAGCCAAATAAACTGTGCTCCAATGGGGTCTAGTGTTATGATTGTACTAGGGAAGATACAGAGGTAGTCTATTCATAGCAGCTGATGGAATAGGTTGATGGCTACAAAAGCCCATGAGGAAGATGAGCTACTTGATTGGTTGATAGCACTAGATCAGAAATAGAATAAAGGGAGAAACTTGAAAAGCTAGGGACTGGTATCTGTGTGTGTTAAAAAGGAAACAGATGAGTGCAGTGGAGAGGAGGGTGATAAGTAAATTAAAAGAGAGTGTAATGATGGAGGCCTATATTTATTATTTAGTGTGTTACAGCAGCATCCAAGGACTCCAGGTGAGATCACAGCCCCATTGCTCTGTATTGTCCTAAAGCCCTTACAGACTAAATAGGCAAGACAAAATGTATGCGAGAGAAGCAAATGAAATGACTTGCTGAAGGTCAAATAAGATGTCTGTGGCAGACCTGGGAATATAGAACCAATGCAAAACTAATTTTCAGAGAAAGCTGAAGGAGAGACAGGAATTAAAAAGATTTTGAAGGAACCATTGATATTACTAATGTTCATGAACATGAGCTAATTCTTTGTAGTTTTTAATCCAAAAAACTCTCAGTGAAGTCAGTGTATAGACACACAAGAAAGACGGGGTAAGAGCTTTATTATTTTGCCCATTTCATCTTTACCTGTCCTTATAATCATTTCTTGTCAAGGGTGAAAGATCCTTCATATAATGCAGTGATACAAATGTAGCCCACAGCTATGAGACATTAAATGCAGGGTGCTGCTTTATTATGGGCAGCCATACCATAGAACTTGCATCAGATGCCTCAGAGATACAGTTTGCCCAGCTTAGACAGAGCAAAATGGGAGAAAGCATTTATGTTAAATACTATTACTTAATGAGTAATGCATGAGCAATGATTATGGATTGGTCTGCAGTAGCAAAATACTATCCTGTCCTACCAATTTGATATAATTATTTATGTTAATCCTGATTATCCCACTAGAGTTCACTATATGAATAGATTGGTTATATCTAATCTTCAAGTTTTCTCTTCTGAGTTTATTTCAGTATTGTATATGAGACTGTTGTTCTGGGAGAGAGAGTGTTTGTCTGTGTGTTCATTCTTGAACATCAGTGTTCAAAAGTGAGATCTACCTCTATGGGCTAATTTTGTTGTTTTGTCATATCAGCTGAGTAGAAACATTGCAAAGTATTCTCCATGCAAACATATACTTTATTGACTCACTATAAATAAACCATGAAAGGGTGTTCTTTAATTACTGCAAATGTGGCTTGTTTACCCAAAGAGGCTTTTACTGTTAGAAGCTCGACATGTTTTATTAGGACACTGGAGCTGCTGTGCCTTATCGACTTTTCCTTAATGCACAATTTTATACTTCCTTCCAAAACTCTGATCGCTTTAAAACTTCAAGAGGGAGAGAAGCCTGTGAATCTGCTGGCAGATTAAATAATTACACATTTTAATCAAATGACTGACATCTGTGCTACATTCAGGTGCCTACAAGCAATTAGGATACGTTCAGGTGCCTACAAGCATTAGGGTACCTAGATATAAACCATACTGCTTATCCACTTCATGCTGGCCACCACTTTCACTAATAGAAAAAAGGATGCCTTTCTACATCAGTGGCAATCATGCACTTGTGGTGTACTTGTTCCAATATCTGACTAGTGTCTATTAGTGATACATGCTGCATACATATTTCCTTTAAAATGACTATACTCTTATATGAGTGAATGAGTTTCCAGGAATTGCCAAAGTGATTGTTCATAACTTTAAAACTATATTTAATTTACATTTAGCTTTAGGTTGAAAAATGGAAATGGTCTTCTTAAACAGAATATGTTTGAAGAAAATCTCTTAGCAGTTTGAATATTTATGAATATTTAAACAAGCTTTGAAAAATGTACTTTGTTGTTAACATATGTCACATACTTCTCTTTGCAAATGCATACCTATATACTTAATGAAAAAAATGTGTGTTGAAGTCATCTAGCATCAAGTCCTCAAATGTTCTTTTAAAATTAAAACATTAAAGTCAAAGACTTCTTGGTTTGCCACAAAAAACTCTTTTAAATGTTTTTATAAGAAAAATGTCATATAAAAAGTAAATGGAAAAATGTCAAATAGCTCTACTTATTACTTTACTAAATTAAAATAGCTTCTGTTTAATGAACAAAAAAGCACCGACCCTTTATTACAGTTTAAAAAAAAATGACTTTATTCAATTTTTACAAAACAAGACCTCAAAAGACAACACTTGGAAAATTTGTACCTAAAGTTATTTTGTAATAGAAACTTTTACAAATTGTTTCTATTTTTAATATTTATATTTGACTAATATTTACATGCCTGCTGCTAATAGAGAAATAGATTCTACTTTTGAAAGAGCCACCTGGATACCACATAAGGAATTGCTGCTGTACAAAAAGAAAATTCTTGTGAATTGTACACTATTAGCTTTGACATACCACCCTTCCCTGGAACTTATATAGAAAATCCTCAAACAATTGCAACCCATACTAGAAGAACACCCAATTCACAAAGAGATCCTAGCCTTTAAACAAGCATCAAACCTCACCAAACTCATCACCAGAAGCAAACTTCCTATGGCCCAAAGCACACTGAATGGATCAGACAAAAAATGTAAAACCTGCCAACACATCTACACCACTCCTACAATTATTACACCCCACAACAGAGCCATCACCATTCCTGGATCTTACACCTGCACCTCCAGAATATCTCATCCAGTGCACGAAATGACCTGATGGAAAATATGTAGGAAAACAAAACAACAACTGTGTACCAGAATGAATGCACACCAAACATGTATCAAAGACAAAAATACTCAGTTACCTGTGGGCACACACTTCTCACAAGACAACCACTCTTTCTCCAATCTCTCTGTTCTAATCCTCAAAGGGTATTTACAAAACATCATTCATAGATGAGCCTACAAACGTCACTTCATAAATCTACTGGATACAAAAAATCGCGGACTAAATATAGACATTGGATTTATGGCACGTTATAACCTGCCTGACATCTGAAAACCCCAGGTAACCTGGCTGCATTTTACCAGCTACATTCTATATGAGTTCAACATCCCTCACCCCTGCAACCTACCTGTCTTACACCTATTGTCTCCTATGCCTCTGAACTGTGGTGCCATGTATTTGCATTTTCACAGATCTGATTTTGTATATTGGCTTCTATTCTACCCAGGAGAGCACACAAAACAACAACAGACTCTCCCTATGCCTGAAGAAGAGTGTTTTTGCCCGCAAGCTTGCAAAGAACATTATTTTCAACTATTTCGTTGTTCAAATAAAAGATAGCACATCTACCCAATGGACCTCATCTGCCTATGTCCTTAGAACACCATGGCTACAACCAACAACCCTAAATACATACAGAAAACACACACAAACAGAACTGTGATCATAACTAGCCAGTATATAAAGAATTTTTTCATGCCAACAAGCAGAACTCATCGAAAAAGCAAACACTGATTTCTTCTTTTGATCAACCAATTCCTCTGAAATAAAAAAAAAATTGGAATATATTCTGTCTTAAGAAAAACTGTTGTCAACAAAAGGAACTATGATAGAACATATTAGTGCGTTCACTACTTGTACTGTAAATTGTAAGTGAAACTTCATAAAAGAAAGAGATAGTGGCCACTTTCAGATGAGCACAGATATGCAGTATGTGGCACCACAGACCCATCCACAGCACCACACACTGCACATGCAGGTGCTCCCCATGGTGCTACCATGTAGTGTGTGTGTGTGTGTGTGAGGGGGTTGACACTTGGAGATCCTGGGGTCCAAAAAACCCACCCTGATAAAAGTGGGGCTGCATATATGGTGGCAGTGCACACAACCTAAAACCAGAGCCTGGCCGTCTGGAGTCACACTCCAGTTACCAGCCAGGCTTCCTGCCATGGTTGTAGCCCTGGGAGGTCCCCAGGGCTCCAGGTAAGGCTGCTTGGGCCAGTACAATTGTTGGCCCCAGACTCCCTTACCCTACCCAGGGTAACCTGCCGTGGACCAGAGCGCACGTGGCACAGGCATTCTCTGGGGCAAGTAGTAATGGCATAAGGTGTGCTGCTGCTACTTGTCCCCTGGGAAACAAACATGCACTCATCTAGACATACCCAGTGAGTGCATCTGTGTGTGCAATGAATGCAGTTCAATAAACTCCAGAGCTATCTGAGCCAGAGTTAACTGCTCCCAGGTGCAGCATCTACACACGCACACAGGGCAGCAGCAATTTGATCAAGGCAGAGTAGGTCCCCCTCTGGCTGGACTGACCAGGCACAATGTATGCCCATGGTCAACATCTACACATGTGTTTTGTCTCAGTAAACTACTCTGCTGTAAGATAGTACTGTCCCAAACAGTACTATCCTATGGTGGATTTGATTAGTGTACTACAGCTTGATACCAGCATATGTGCCATTTACTACAGACCTAATTATTCTACTCCAAAGTAAAGCACACATGTAGATGCACCCAGTAAAACTTTCATTATATGGAAGACTTTTTCAAAATAGTGCAACAGTGTAATACAAAAGTAAAGCACAGAAATACATCCACTGAATACTGATTTTCATGTGTTCCTAACATACCATGATGTAACTAGTGCCTGAGTATTGGTAAAGTTGGCAGTATTGACATCTATGTAAAAATAAATGTATGCATTTGATATTAACAATGTATTTTGATAATAAATATATGTTTTAAATGGTAAAGGAACTAAAAGGAAGGCTGCCAGTAAATTGACTGAAGTTTTGGAAGATGAAGTTAGTAAAATATAATCTTGCCACTCCCTGGCCACATCTACATGAGATGCATACTACTGTCCCAGAGTTACTGTGCAGTAGCAACACCAAATGACTTTTGTGTGATGCTGACTGCACAGTAGCTTGTTACTACTGTGCAGTAGGTATCGCATCATGCTTCCTGTCGTGTGATGCTATTGTGCAGTAGTAACAAGCTACTGAACAGTCAGAGATCTCCAGTACTCTTTAACAGGGTCTGCGTCTACGCAAGACACTGTCTACAAACTCCAGAAAGGAGCACTGCATCAGTTCTCAACTGGAAAAACATCTTTTTTATAACCAGATGTGCTTGTTCCTGCTTGAATTACAACATAACAGTCATCACAAACATTAGCAAGTAACCCTTGTTTTAAAAGTTAAACTTTAAATTCTGAAAAATAAGGTGAGCAAACTACAAAAACTCTGCTCTGCACTTGTTATTGGAGGATACACTTTTAAAACCCTGCTTACTACAGCTTCATTTCAGTGCTTAGTTAGTTTGCATATTCAACATTACCATCAGGTTTTCATTTGATGAAATTGTTAAATGAGGAGGACATTAGTAACCAGTTTTGGGGGCAGTAAATTTGAATTTTCAGAAAATTTAAATATTTGGTTCCTGTTGTTGTCTCTATAGATACAATGGCCTAGAAAACAAACATTAGTGCTGTAATAACTGTTAGCTATCAAGCACAAAAAAAAGTAATGCATCTATAATCTTCTCTCCTGGACAACTATTAATGCACCTTGAAGGCCAAACAAGACAAAAACATACTCAGTTGCTTTGGGCACTCCTAAGCCATAAGCCCTCTTCCAGCCAGTCCCTGAAATTCAATTATTGTTATTACTAATTAGTTTAATGCAAAGAAAGTGAGAGAAAAATACCAATCACAATACTTCAGATTATCCTTGCCTTTGCATTATGCAGTCTATTTTTACAAGTGTAATAGAAATCCATTAGGCATTAGTTTTGAAGACTGCCTAACTGAATGTTTTAAAACATACAGTTAATTGCTCCTTTCAGCATGTAACCCCTTTATCATTCTTATTTTTCAGGAACGGAAGAGGAAGATGAAGGTGATGACCTGTTATTGAGATCTGTGGATGAATTCTGGTGGTTTCCCCATATGTGGAGTCACATGCAGCCTCATCTGTTCCACAACGAGTCTTCACTAGTGGAGCAGATGATTCTCAACAAGGAATTTGCACTAGTGAGTATAAGTTATGAGAATGTATATACTTTCCAGCAAGTGTTAGAAAAAGAAAGTTAAAAGGCTTTATAAAATATTAGGATATTTCTAAAAATATAGAAAACTAGAATCAGATTAATACTGGCTTTGGAAATTCATTGCAGAAAAGGTTGTTGGTGAACTTTTCTTTGCACTTGGACTGAGTTTTGCAATAGTCCCCATATCTTCGGGCCTTCTGATACTTTACCCTGCGAACTACACAAATGGTAAATCAGTGTTATTGCTAGTTTGGAGCAGTCGCACCCTTAGTCTAGAAACCTCTGACTGTCCCCACCTGCACAGCTGTGACTTGCCACTAGAGACCTTGTGAGCAAGGACAGGATTAGGAGCTGTAGCTGTGAGTTGCCACTAACCGGCTGGTTAGACAAGATAGGCTTTTCTCCCTGCTCTGGGGTTGGGGGGTGGGGAGAAAGATCCTGGGATACTGGGCAGTACATCTGTAGGGAGTGGCCACACCTTAACGGACCAGGTGCTAGGTTGTGAGGATCACAGATAATCCTGCCCTGGAGTGGTGTAAATTTAAGCTGCGTAAGAGTGCTTAAAACCACTTTAAGGTGTTAATGCACAGACAATCCAGGGGTTAAGGGCTCCAGAAGCAGCCGAATATTACTGTATAATAAGGCCCTTAATCAATAAGGAGGAACTCTGTCTTAATTGTGAGGGTGTAAAGACTCAGTGCCTTCGTGGTTAGTCAGCTGGTAATGCTTCTACTTTATAGCTTAAGAAAGTAATTGTAAATAAACAATATACAGTACAGATACAACAGAGAGGTGCAGGAAATGCATTACCTGTAATGACCAATTCACTTTAAGAGCTATATTCATTTGGAGTTAAACAGCTGAACCTGATCAGAGGGGCAAGAACTGAAATTGCTTCATTTCAGGTTCCTTACAACACCTCTGCAACTATTTACAAATGCCCCTCAGATGGTTAGTCTGTCTATTAGTGATCTTTATACATAATGATGTTTGATTTAACCCATTTGTATTATTAACTTTTAAAAGCTCTGGATAAACTTCAGTGGAATAGCATTCTGAAGTAATGTTGAAACCTATTTAGAGCCTATCCAGTATAATTCCACTTGGTTAGGCAGCATGGCAAAGAGAAAACAATGAGGTCTATAAATACTTTCTTTAGAAAAGACATTATGTGGTTCTGTACAAAGTGTTGAAACTTCAAGCAACCAAAGCCATTCAAAAGAGCGAAATGATATCATACCTGCTACTTAAAGCACCCAAACTCTCAGATCTAAGCCTACCCTTTTATAATGCTGTAGCGCAAACAGAAACTCTTCAGGAAACCATCAACGATAACCATTCTTTGTTTATTAAGCATTTTCATACTAATTCCATGCCACATGCTTGACATCATCATTTAATTGCTTCGTGGGGATGGGAGAGAGAGGTCTTTTTTAAAGTCTTAACTTTTCTATTGTTGTATATTCATTTGAGGCTTCTTTCTTTAGTATTTTTAAGCGAAATCTTCCAGCCTGCTTGACTGTTGACTGTGCTTTCTGAGGTGATGCATTTATGGACCATAGAATCCATGATTTTTGCAAACTGTATTTAGCAATGGATAAACCAATTCAAGTAGGTGAAGCAACTTGGTGCTAGAAACTCAAAGCTTAGACGTGGCACAATTTTTGAACAAAGTAACTTGAAATGACTTGTAATCCAGAAATAGATTGTCTTGTTTTCCTTAAACCTGTAAGGGAAATTCTCCATAGTGTTTTTAGTAAAGTTGGTAACAGTTAGGTCAAGCCATATTTAAGAGTAAAAGTCACAACTTGGACTAAAAATAGCAGTCAGTTATAAAAGATTCTTGTTTGCAGCCTTAACTACAAAGACAATACCATCTCTCTCTAATCATTTTCTTTGAATGGCAGGGACTTCTAGGGGTGTCTATAACTATAGAGTGAGTGGCAGTGAAAAGCTGCTTTTATTATAGTTTTATTACCTGCTAATGGTTGGACAGGGATTGTACTGACCTCTTAGCCTTGAATTCAGTAGTAGCTCTACAATTTACTTACAAGAACATTTCTTTTCAAAAGGCTTCCTGTGAATTCCTCTCCGTGGGAGAAATTTATCTTCCTGACATGACAACCTCCCTGATATCTAACACAGATATTGCAGCCATGAATTCGGAGTCATCTTGCAACCTCTCCTACTTTTTCACTCTATATATCATGTCTTGTTCAGAAATAGAACTCAGTACTGCTTCTCTACTCCATTTTATATCTCTGTCCAGGACTATAACAAATTGTTTTTCAACAGGCATTATTCTTTTACTTCGCCATTTGAATCTGTCTCATTGTTTAACAAGGCTAACATATAAATGATGCCAAGCAGAAGTCTTTGGGTTATTTATTGTTATGTTACCCTGGAGTATAGCTCATACTTTTTGTGGGTTTTCTTTTGGATAACTCAGTCCCCATCTACATGTTACAATTAAAACATGATTAACCAGTTAATCACACCTCATGTACACACCCAGGCAAATGTTTGTTTGATCAATTAATGATGTGATAAAACAAGGAATAGGACACAAAGTTATTCCTCAGAAAGTGTGAAATAACTTTTTGGCTTGTTCTTATCACACCGTTAGATGAATATGTGGCCTGGTGCACTACCCGCTGAGAGTCCCACAGCTGACAAGTCTCTAAGCAGAGACACCGTTCCACAGGCTGCCCCTGCTGCAAGCCCTGTCAGTGAAGCCAATGCAGGGGGAGTCCAAGATCATGAGCCTGGGCTTCCCCTGTACTGGCAATAAGTTGTGATTGGATCTGATTCTGGGTACCACGATCATGCCTCCTGCCATGCACATGTGGAATGGCAGGAGATGTCATTGTGTGGATTGTGCATCAGATCTCATCACACCTTATCTGCATGTCTAGAGGGACCCTTAGTTCCCCACTAAAGCCTGAGCCTTCTACCCCAAGGCATTTATAAAAATGACATTTTGAAAGCTTGTAGATAAAAAAAAAAATGTAACTATTATCTGTAGGACTGGTCACCCTCTGTCTCAGTCCAATACTTTCCATTTTCTGATGGAGCTGGAAAACAATAAGGGGTTGAAAGGAAATAATTTCCTTGAGAAGGCCCTGTGAATGCAGTTGTTACATATTTTCCCCTAGATTTCTGCCCATATTTTTGAGATCTGCTTACTATTAAGATTATTTTAAAAGAATACAGTGATACCTACTTTTTCTGATCTCTGATATAGGAAATTCTATTTAAATTCCGAGTGAAAGTTTAACTTTGTTACAGTTTCTTTTTTCGGATACATTACATGTACAAATACTTCTACAGAATGATCCAAGTTTCACTGAAGTTGGTAGAAAAATTCCAAATAACTTCCAGAGGCTTTTGATCAGACCCAATAGCAACGTTGTCTTTGACAAAAAATGATTTCACAGTAAATATGTTCTTATGGTCACAGCATTCCTGGCTTTATGAATCAAGCCAAACTATGAACACTGGACAGTTTAGTTACTGTGTATGTAATTTGTAGTAATATCTAAAGATATTAATACCTAACATTTTAAATATGTATGTATGATTTACACTGTATCTTCTTATGGTACTGTATACATATGCTGTTCATGTACACAGGTGCTGCTTGAATGTGGGCAAGGAGTATGGTCTCTTATTTAGAGCAGGGGAATAAGTGAAAATTCCTAAATTCTAACTTGAGTTCTACTACTAAGTTGCACTGTGTTCTCTACCATCATATACCCATCTGTTATATTGGATATTAATCCTTACTAACATTACAACAGTGCTTTGCACAATTATATATATATAAATCAGTCAAGTCCAGAAGTACTTGTTATTTAGATTTCATAGATTTCATAGACATCAGGGCTGGAAGGGACCTTGGGAGATCATCAAGTCCAGCCCCCCGCCTCAGAAGCAGGAAGTCGCTAGTGTCAAAGGATCTCAGCAAGATAAGCGCCCAAATGCTTCTTAAAGGAGTGCAGAGTAGGTACTTGCACCACCTCTGGAGGAAGCCTATTCCAGGCCTTGGGGGCTCGGACAGTAAAGTTCTTCCACAAAACGGTCGTGGAGGAGTTGAGGACTGTTGGTCCTTCTCATCCCTTGGGGCGCTTTGGTGAACAGGCTTTCCCCCAGGTCCTGATGCACACCCCTGATGTACTTGTAGGCTGCCACCAGGTCCCCCCTGAGCCTGCACTTTTCCAGGCTGAAGAGCCCCATGGCTCTCAGCCTCTCTTCATAAGGCCTGTTCTCTTGTCCTTTGATCATGTGTGTGGCTCTCCTCTGGACTCTCTCAAGCTTCTTGACATCTTTCTTGAATTGTGGAGCCCAGAACTGGATGCAGTACTCCAGCTGTGGCCTTACCAAGGCTGAGTACAGTGGGAGGATGACATCCTGAGATTTACTTGAGAAGCATCTATGGATGCAAGCCAGAGTTTGGTTTGCTTTACCAGTTGCGACATCATATTGGTGGCTCATGTTCATCTTGTGGTCAATCGTGACCCCCAAGTCTCTTTTGGCCTTGGTGCTAGTGAGTGTAGCACTGTCAAGCCTATAAGCATGATGCAGGTTTTTTTCTCCAAGGTGGAGTACCTTACATTTGTCGGTATTGTAAGGTGAATTTAGATTAATAACACCCATTGCTTTCAAGTTGGGTACCTTTTGAGATTTGTGGATCTGGACATTGGTTCTTTTTTTGAGGAAGATATTTTACAGACTGTTACTTTAAAAAAATAAACAACTCTCAAGATACTGTCTTTCGTAAGTCCATTCAAATTTTGCATATAAGGAAAGGCTTTTAGCTTACAAGCTGTTTAGCAACTGCTTGATGGAAGAAATGACATATTCTGACACAGTGCAGCATTGGTGCCTCCCTCCTACCTTCACCTCTGCCTGCTCAGGACCCAACAGGAAGTTAGGAGACTCTTGTGCAGCACCAGACTCTGTTACATATACATGTGAATGATT